ACCTTATAGAGTTCAGCCGGTCCAGCGTGGTGATAAATGAGAGAAAAAACCAATCATGTTTAATGAAATAAAAAATAAAAGAATATTGTATAAAAAAGTTTTAAAAATGAGAATAGAAATAAGTATACAAAAAATTATTGAACAATTAGAAAAAGTTTATGGAGAAAATTCATTATTATTTTGGAAACCACATCACCCTAAAGCCAAGATAGAATTGACATAAAATTTTATAATAAGAGTTAGATCAATGATGTATACTATAGAAGATACACCAGAATTCAAAAATCAGATAACAGAATTGTTAGAACAGAAACTTATTAGACCTAACAATGAACCTCATAGTAGTCAAACCTTTATTGTTATGAAACATTCTGAATAGAATAGAGGAAAAACTAGAATGGTTATAAATTACAAAGAGTTAAATAAATATACTAAATTTGATGGATATTTTTTATCAAATAAAGAAGTTTTAATAAACCGTGTAAAAGGAAAACAATATTATTCTAAATTCGATTGTAAATCACGATTTTGGTACACCTCAAGGAAAATATGAATACTTAGTAATACCATTTGGATTAAAAAATACACCACAAATATATCAAAGAAAAATGGATAATATATATAAAAAGTTAAATGAATTTCTAATTATTTATATAGATGATATACTGATATGTTCTAATAGTAAAGAAGAACATATGAATCATTTAATCCAATTCATAAATGAATGTAAAAAAGAATGAATTATACTTTCTAAAAAGAAATTTATAATAACAAAATAAGAAATAAACTTTTTGGGATTATCAATAGATAAGAGAGGAATAAAATTACAGACTCATATATTTAAAAAGATAGAAAGTTTTCCATATAAATTAAAATCCAAATAACAAATACAAAAATTCTTAAAATGTTTAAATTATGCTAAAGGATTTATTGAAAATCTTTCTTAGAAAAGATATAAGATCCAAATTTTATTTAGAAAAATAAATTCTAAATGATGGAATGAAGAATATACAGAAATAGTTAAATCATTAAATGAAGAATGTAAAATTTTACCAAAATTAAGATTACCAAATGGAAAAGATAATTTAATTGTTAATATTGATGCCTCAGATAAAAATTGGCCAGCAATATTGAAACAAATTTAAATGAGATTTGTAGATATTCAAGTGGAACTTTTAATAAAGTAGAAATAAATTATACCACACATGAGAAAGAATTACTAGCAATAATTAGAGGAATAAAAAAGTTTTTATTATTCTTACTATCCAAGAAATTTATTGTTGAGACTGATAATTCTCAAATTGCAGGATTAGTCAGGAATAAACTACCATCAGAACCTCAATACAGAATGCTCCATAAATAACAAGCCTATTTAGCATTTTATAATTTTGATATAGTTCATATTAAAGGAGTTAATAATTTTCTTGCAGATTTTCTCAACAGAAATATAGAATTTGCTGATGGATAAAGTTAGGGTCATGGAGTTATACCAATCTATCCTACATATACAAAAAAAGGACAAATTTTCTTAAAAAAGAATCTAAAGATATAAATACTGGAACAACACAGATCTCAAAGATGTTCCACTCAAATATAAAAATATTGTTGAATATCACCACTGAGCATCACAAAGAAGCCATAAAACTCAAAAATCAAGTTGATGTTATTGCAGCAAAACTAAAAGATATACTGTCTGAGACAGATATACTAAAGAGCTCAGAAATTAGTTTTTCAAATCAATACCAAACAGGGACAGTTGGAAGCATTAGTTGACCTAGACGTGACAATATATCAACTGATAAAAAAAGATTTCATTTCAGTAACACCAACAAAAAAAATGGTGATACATGGAGATAAAAAAGATTCCAAAATTATTAGTATTATAGACTAGGATGATACAATCCCTTTAGATCCAAAAGAAGAAGGGTATGCTAAAATAGTCAGAATTGCTTATGAAATAAAAATAAGTGATTCATATTTCATCTCTTCAGGAAATAATGTTTATCCCAGACTAGCAGTCATGGAAGGAAGAGACCCTTTGTTTATAAAGATTATGACAGACTATGGATTTATGGATTTGATATATTCAGGAAAAGATTTGATTGAAATTTCGAAATTTGATGATATATTCATAAAAGAAAAGATTTGCTAAGGGACAAAGAATATATTTGAAATTTTATTTAATAAGTCCTGAATACAATGGAGTTGTTTATTATCCAGTTGAACACATAATCTCAATTGGATATGTTGTAACCAACTTCCAGATAGATGTGGTGGAGAATGATAGAAAAATTTCAACAGTAACAAAATCATGGATTAAACATAGAAGAGCACTCAGAATTAAAGTTATATACAATATTGCTAAAAATTTGTTTGATAAAAAATTTTCATGCTTGTGCCAATATGAAAATTAGATGCTGGTATCAAATGGAGGACGTGAAAAATCAGAAATCTTGAAAGATTACATTACAAGATTTGAAATACTTCAATTTTCAGGATACCCTATCACTATAAAAGAATCCTACCAACTAAGAGAGTGTCCCAACTGCTTGTGAAGACATAAAAGATAAATGACAATATTAGAGAAATATGCTCTTTGGATAAAAAGTTGGAAAAAGCATGTGGAGATAAAGAAAAAGGAGGACAATAATGGGGGCTCCTTTAATCAGAAGCTGCATGTGAAGATGTAGGTTCAAGGAGAACAATAATAGAAAGGCAAGTGTGCCTTTGTTGATGTACTGTATGATGTAATAGATCAATAATAAAGCCTCATATATTTGTATAAATAGAGGCATTGTAATAGATAGAAATTATCTTGAAATCTCGAATTGTAATCAATAGACACTCTTAAATTATCCTTAGTCTGAAAAACCAGTTTTTCTGAAAATCCTTGTATACCAAATAGAAATCTTGTAAAAATTCTAATAGAAATAAAATTTCAATATTTTGATATCAATATGAGTTTCTAAATCTTTATTCCCATAGATTCTTGAATGATCTAATAAAAAGTTTCATTCTTATTTTAGCAAAAAGAGAGTTTTTCTTTAACAGAAGTCTAGAATTTTGTTCTTTAGAGTTGATACAGTAAGAGCAAAAAACTGAAATAGTAAATATTCCATGAAGACAAGAGGCCATTGACGGAAGCAGTTTACATATTCAGAACTCAAAGGTTACTTGGTTCTAAAAATAAAAATTCAGATCAAACCTAAGGTAAAACTATTAAATTTTTGCTTATGAATCTTTTTAGATCTTAGAGAATCAAAGGGATTATTTGTATGATTTAATGATTATTTGTATGATTTAATGCCAGAATATACAATTGAAGGATTAGATAATTTGTTAGAAAAAATATTAGAAGAAATAAAAAATATTATTTCTCAATTAAAAAATATGAATACATCTTTTGAAGAATATAATATATTAAATAATAAATATGAACAATATATTGCAGATTATTCCAATCTACTTGATCAAAGAATGGATTTATATACTAAAATTCAAAATAGAATAAATATAAGATAAAATAGTTTCAAGATTAAGATATATGTTGTAATATAGAAAAAATCATTTCGTTAAGGGCAATATAGACTTTTCTATGAAAAGGCATAGTAAGAGGCCAAATAGAAAAATCCTCTCTTTTGCTTTCCCCTTTGACTTCATTTCCATGTGTGTTTGTCAGTTTGTGCATATATATGTATATAAATAGGGATTTTATTATGTTTACGTTACCTAACAATAATTTGTTTCAATTGTTGAAAATCCCACCTTATGTGATTCTGAGCGAGTAGTAAATATGAAGCTTTAAGAGAAAAGATGTTTGAATTAACTAAAATGATTTTTTTCCCCGAGGTGGGTATACCATTTCTTTTGTTTCTGTTTATACTTTTCGGAAAATTATAGGATGTGTTATGTGGGGTCTTGGGAATACACAATAGCAAATGGAACCTAAATCACTCTATCTGTTTATACCATCATCGTCTAGCAATAACCTCAGACCAGGGTCCAATGACCTTTCATTTATATTTCCTACAGTGGGCCTCGCCGGAAAAAAAAGTGCACATCTAAATACCATTCCAAAGACATCCCATCAACAGTATCAAACTTTGTGATCAATCCAGTCCCAACTGGCTTAGACACCAATCTTTCCTCATTGCAGTAAGACCGTAAGGGTTGAAGGCCCAGACTAGGATGGAGTGGATTGAAATGCAGCTGGGAGAATTAGGTTTTCAAAACAGCATTCCTTAGTCAGTGGTACTGAGTCAATTAATATTCTTTTGGCAGAGTTGTCGAATTGTAGATGGATAGAGATATGATTAGCTTCTTAGATGACATAATTAGCAAAGGCAGAGTAGGGGGCACGCTTTATGTATCTTCGGAGAGCATGTCCTTCGCGGATCTGAGAAATTCACTATAGTTTTCACGTCTCCCTAGAATATGATGGTTTACATAATTACTGATCTTTCATTATGGGGACCGGGCTTTCTGGGCGGCCGCCTCTGCGGATTTCATCTGGGTCTCCAAATTTTCCTCCAACTACACCTTTATTCTTGGCAAACTGCCTGATCAAGGCTTGATTACCATGTGATGATGTCAAAATTGTACCTGTTGATTTCTCGAGATTGAGGACTGGGATCGAGCACAAACGGAGCCTTCCAGTACCTGAAACAAAGGCAACGAGGTGTGTGCTCGTCGCCCCTCCGATGCTTAAGTCAGAGAGGGAAATTGTGTAAAAGTATGTGCTGTAATTGTATTGTAAAGACATACCTGAATAATGGAGTTGAGTCCTGTATTTATAGATGTCAGTGGTTGAGTTATATCAGGATTCAACCACCTGTAATCTTTATCTTGTACAGTGATTGAGTTATATCACAATTACCACTTTAGGTTTGGCATGAATTGTAACACGTTTAGTATTTAGATAATGATAAACAGTTGAGTCATAGGAGCACTAAAACTCACAAGAGACTCGAGAAGAGGACAATATTTTGACATATGGACCCGACCTTAGTAGGACCCGATTATTAGGTCCGACCTATGAGAGGCCCGACCACATTTTAAAGGATATTTGGAGATGAGAGTGGTCGAGGTATTTACCTCGAGCCATGCTAGAAAGTTTGGGGTCGGGCTATAATTTTCATACACATCACCATGGATAAAAAGGATATTTATGCCAGGCTCTGCAGACCCAACTCTTTTGACGGTGGACAAAGGTTTGCTTGTTCAAATTCTCTATTTTTTATTTTTTTTCCCTTTCTGGTCCTGAATTGTTAAATTTGATTTTCTTTTTTTTTTTTTGTTTGTTTGTGGGAATAGGAATTTTGGATTGATAAGAGAATCGGAGGGACATATTTGTCAATTTCTTCAAAGGCGATAGCAATTACGGGTATAGATGATCGGAGATATTGAAATCGCATTCAGACTGATGAATCTAGGTGAGTATTTGAAACATCTGTGTGTTTGTTTGGTTGTTTGTCATGTCTAAGCACAAATTTGTCGGAAAATATGAATATATTGCTTTTATCCAAAGAAAACTTGCATACTTCTCAAAGATTTTCTTCATAGTTGTTTTACGTTTCCGGGGGTTCAAACTTTCAAGGTACAAAGGCTGTAGCTTGATATAAATAGATCAAATTACCTTCAAATTCGACGGTTTATATGTTTTTTTTTAGTTTCTGAATCCTCCAGATGTTAGGGATCAATAGAACTGGACGAAGGAATACCAAAGCTAACATATGATTCCGAGTTTCCATAAAATATGGTAAAAAGAAAAATTGAAGATTGGTTAAAAGAACGTCGTTTTAGGTAGTCTGGAGATGGGAGTTTAATTCTTGTCCCTATCCGGGTATGGAATAAATAATCCTTCCTTTTAAATCCAAATGCATTGACAAAGATCAAATATTCTTTGACTCAGATTGATTATATTCACACCAAAGGTGGTTTATGTATAGATTCAGTTTTGATATGTACCGGAAGCTTAGGTAAATAGTTGTTTTTTGTAGATGAACCCTCTAAAAAATAGTAATATGCTGAATCAGAAAGTGTCAGAGAATAGATTGCTTCTTAAGGAGCTTGGGATGTGGAGGCAATCTGTATTTTTGTTTGAATGAGTTGTTTGATAGTTTCTAGTCTTGGGATTTGGTGGTACCTAGTGATTCTTGTACATAATTTAATTTCAACTATTTTGTTCGGAATGTAGCTATTGCTTCGTTTATCTGCTATTTGCGTTTCTTCTATGTCTCGATTTTGTAGTTAATTTTCTGTTATTTATTTAGATTGCAATTGTTGATCAGTAATTCACTAGTCGTGGGAAATTTTAAATTTTCATGTAGTAACTGGAAAAGAACCTCACCGTTTTAAAGGTTGCTTTGCAATAAAGCGAGGCAATATTTGGTTGGTGAATTGTGTATTGAAATCGAAGTATCAAAAGCAAACCACTCTATACAATATAATTAACTAACAAAACTACAAATAAATTTCCTTTTTATTATTATTTAGTTCCTATTTGACTTCAATTTTTTGAAATTCATTTTATTTCATACTCATTTTCAATTACACATTTTATATGACTTATGCTTTTTTATCAACTTCTCAATTATAGATATCATCAACTTCCACTCAATCCAGTTTGTTAAACCTATCAACGTGTACACATCAGTTTTAATAATTATGAAAGTTCTTGGGTTCTGAAAATTGTAATTCACATTTATTATGTGAAGCTTATTTATAAATGTATTTAATGACTAGGGATGCACATAGATCTTTCCGTCTATTTGGAGGGTTGGAAATAAAATTATAATTTTATTATTTTTCGATTTCTATCTACACTACATTAAGAGCTTGTTTGTATCTCATTTTGGGAGAAAATATAGAGTTTTAAATTGTAGTTTTTGGAGAATGTATGGTTGAAATTAAAAAAAAAAACTTTATTGGTTTGTGTGCAGGATATTTTATTATTATTATTATTATTATTTGATATCCAGGTATCCCAACTGGATCACAGGTTCCCTCTCATTGCCTGTACACTTCTGCGCACAAGAGACCCTCCTCCACAGTGATTTCTCAATACCAAAGTTTTGGCTGCAGGTTCCCACCAGGAATCGAACTCTCCACCATGCTGTTGGAAGCAAGACAATGTTGATTAATCCACCAGTTGAGCCGTGCCCCGAGGGGCAACTTATGTGCAAGATATTTTATTGTGTGAATGTGTGATGGAGAATGTGTTACTGTAGCAAACAATTTATTTTGTTAAAGAATATAACAAATCACTACTATATAAAAATGGCAATATTTCACTACTGTAAAAAGAATAGTAGATTCTTCCATTTTGTCTCACTTTAGCCTTTTTTTTTATTGAGAGAAAGCAACGACGTCGTTTATCTTATGTGTTTGATACAGTGATTTTGTTGCTTTTCCTCAATTTACGCGGCGAGGAGGATTATGTCATAGAGCCCTATTTACTCATTCTCCATTTTTACACGCTACAGTCATGCCTCTCTATTTCTCCACACTAATTCAAGAGAAAAAGTGTGAATTTCATAAATATATGATTGAAAATTTGTTTAAAGAAAAATAAGTTTTAAAAAATGAAGACCAAACATATTAACAAATGAATATATTTATTTTTCGAAAAATACGTTTTTATTACTATTTCATTTTTATCGTGAAATGATTCTAATTTTAATATGTTAGATTGTACTTTAAAATTACATAATCTATCAAATATAATTTTTAAAATTAATTTTTATAAAGTAATATATTTTTCTGAATTTTTTTTTTAGTAAAGTAATGTTATGCAAGTTCAAGCATGAGCCTCCGTTTAACGGAGGCATGAGGCCTCATGCTTGAGCCTTCGTAATAACGGAGGCCACAACATGGATGCCTCCATGTTGAGCCTCCATAATTTTTTATTTTTTAAAATTAATAAAAATTTAATTATTTTATATTTTTTAGTACTATTATATTTCACGTTTCAAAAAAAAAAAAAAATCATAAAAACATATTACTTTATAAAAATTAATTTTGAAAATTATATTTGATAGATTATATAATTTTGAAGCATAATCTAACATATTAAGATTAGAATCATTTCATGATAAAAATGAAATGGTAATAAAAACTCATTTCTCGAAAAATAAATATATTTATTTGTTAACATGTTTGATCTTCATTTTTTAAAATTTATTTTTCTTCAAACATATTTTCAATCATATGTTTATGGAATTCGCACTTTTGCTCATGAATTAACTCCCTCAATAAATTATTATTTAAACGGTTCGTAAACATTTTTATTAATATTATTTTTTGGTCATCCAAATGATTATTATATACCTTTTACGTGTATATATATATATATATATATATATATATATATATAAATAATATTTTTATTTAAACTTATTTATGTACTCAAAAATAAACTTTCTAAAGATACATGGTTGATAGCGTGAGAAAATGATGAAAGATATAGTGTGGAGAAATAAAGAAGCATGGTTGTAGCGTGTAAAAATTGAGAAAGAGTAAGCATCAATTATTTTATGTATTTTTATCTTAAGAATATTAAAAAAAAATTAAATTGATTAAATTAAATTAAATTATTATACTGAGAGTCAATAAAAAAATAGAAAGTAAAAAAACGTACGTTAAGGCCTTCGTAATTACGGAGGCTTAAGCACACATGAGCCTCCACTAAATGGAGGCACGCGTTGAGGCCTCATGAGCCTCCGTAATTCTGGAGGCCTCCATAACATTTTATTTTTTAAAATTAATAAAAATTTAATTATTTTATATTTTTTAGTACTATTATATTTCACCTTAAAAAAAAAAAATCATAAAATCATATTACTTTATAAAAATTAATTTTAAAAATTATATTTGATAGATTATATAATTTCATGCATTTAGTATTAATGTAATGAACCAAACGATTAGACTTTATCAAATATTTCGAACCTTCAACCAATTTTGAAAAATTTACAATTTTGAAGCTAATAAAAATACAATAAATACAAAACTCGTGCAACGCACTAATCAAAGATGAGTACGAGATAGAAGAGAGAATGCCATAGTTACTGTTCATTTTGGTGGTGGAGCTTTCACACTTGAAAACCAAACTGGTTAGCCTACTGTTCACAAACAAGTTCATCACTGTTCGTCCCTAAATATCTTCTTCGTATATATATATTTTTTACCTTCTCTTACACCCTTTTCTAATCTCTATCTTGTTCTATTTTTTCTTTAACTACGATAACCCAATCAAGAAAATTCAATCATTTCAGTCTGAAACCTTTTTTTTTTTTTTTTTCCATTCAGTTTTCATATATAGCATTTTCTTCATTGTATAATTTATATTTCAGGTTCAATGTGATCATTTTGAAGACTTCTTTTTTGCGTTTGAGCTGGATAAATATGTCTATGAAGCCTTGTTCAAAAGGAAAACAGCAGAGGTTGGTTAAATCATCTATTGAGTTGGCCTAAAATCTTTCTGTCATTTATGATGCTATTATTTTGTGCAGGTTTTCAGTGGAAATATCAACTGCTCATAAGAAAACTTCCCTAAACCGATTGGTCAAGTTGGATTTTCTGTGATTTGCGATTATTTGTATTTTCTTATTTTCTTGACTTAGTTAATTTTTTTCATTTTGATCAAATTTTCTTTCTTTTGTATTTTCGTATGTTATCTATGTGCTTTTAGATCGGTGTAGTAATCCTAATATCTTTAATCAGCACAAACAAGTATGTATTGTTTGATTTTTGTTTCAAGGGAAGTTCATTATGTTATTTTTATGTAATTTTGAGCTGGAGCACGGAGATCCCAAAAACACATAGTTTCTCCTCCAAAAATGACTTTTCCGGTTGGGGAACACATTAGATATTCACCTAAACACTTAAAGAAGATAAAAAAAATGTCCAGATTTTTCTCAGATTCCGTTTTCCAAACATTGAAGGTTTCTTTCTCAATTTGGGACAACAGTGGGGACTCAGGTGCTCTTATTCTTGCTTCCCTTATGCTTCAGACTTATCCAATGAAGCCAAACAGGTCAAGAAAAAAAAACCACCACTTCTTCATATCTTGTCCTAAGGATCAGAACAAATTGGCATAGTACTACTAAGAATATAGTCGAGATGTACTTAGATACTTCCAAGGTTGGCCTTGATTGGAAGTCTAAACTGATTAGGAAGGCTGTAGAGTGCATACATATCTCAATTGTTATGAGAATATTATAAATCCTATTGAGAAGATCAATTTTATTGAGAAGGAAAATAAATATTTGAATCTAATTAGTCCCTACAAATCACGTCGGTCTTTCTACTATACTATCCCAACACTTACCCACCTCAATCTCCCATCAAGTACTTCATAAAATAGTCCCACTATTTAGTTTTGATTAATTACATTTGTGTTTAATCTTTGGGATGAACTTACTGGGTTGGTAGTTGCTACTATGATGGGATTCTTATGTGAAAAGATTTTTATATGAGTTGTAAAGATTAAAGATCTAAATTAGCTTGAGCTAATCGTTCTGTTAGGACGTTCAATTAAATGTTTTTGGGACATTTGATGATTTCTATGTTATGATTCTGCATCTTTTGTTAATTGGTTTGGAGTCTGCATTTAGTTCAAGAGGGTTAATTGTATTTTTAGTGTGGTATATACAGATAACTTTCATTTGATACATTTTGCTTTTACGCTCCTTTTTTTTTTTTTTAACTTTCTCCATTGGGTTTTACTAGAGTTCCAACGACTTTATGCTTTTTTTTTTTCATTGTTTCCTTGAAGGTGAAAATTTTTGCTTGCAAATTGTTTCCTTAAAGGTGAAAATTTTTGCTTGCAACAACAAGAGGTTGCCTACATACATTCTCTTCCCCACACTAGCAAATATGTCACCAAATATAATTTATATCTGTACCTCAAAGGATGGAGAAAGATTTATTTTAATGAGCATCTTAAGAAGCTTAATGGCATTCTTGTTCTTTTTATCTCTGGTAGTGCTGGAAGTTACAAACTGGCAAGTCCCCTCTTATTTATCTTTTGCTGTCGGGCATATTCTAAGATGATTTCTTAGGATCAATAGTAAACTAAAGTTGGTCTTAAGCTTGATCATGGCTCACTAAAAGAAACTAGGCAAATAGCCATCCAAAAGTTGTCTACTTCTATTCTTATCTTTGTATCTCTTGTGAGGATGGATGTTAAAATTACATTACTATTTGTATTTATTGGTGAGTACGATGAGCTTTTGTTAAGAAAATCTTTTTCTAAATAGGTAGAGCGAACAATTTACTCAATGCATGGTGGTTTTGTATTACTAAAACATTCTTATATGATGATGCAATGCCATATAGGTTCTAAATTTCTATATGATTCTTAGGTTATATGATAATGGTGAAAGCAAATGCTCTGTTTGTAAATTGATTAAGAATGCTTAAAGTTTAGATTGATATTTGCTAATTGGGTATCTATTGTTTTTCTGCTTTTCCCTCATTGATTGATATTTGCTAATGGGGTATCTATTTTTCTGCTTTTCCCTCATTGATTAGGTGACATCCTTGGCTGCAGAATCTGATAGAGGTTACCAAATAGGCATATTGTTATGAAGCTTACTACGGTCATTTCGATTGCCTACAATTAATCCTTTCTGCTGCTCATTGTACCCTGGTTGCATAATCTTGTTAACTATTTCTTACCTATGTTACCTTACACTCATATACACCAATGTTTGTCTATTCAAAACAATGAGCTAATTATTGTGCTCAAATAGGAGGTCAAAGGATTTTTGAGATTTGTTAATATAAGAGATGGAAGTGGTGCAACTCCGTTGAATTCGGCAGTTTGTCAAGGATGACGAATTTGTGTTCATATTCTATTGAGCAGTTGGGCTTTTGTATGTGTCTATGGTGGATATATGTACTTTTATCCAGTTCTTTAGCATTTTCCTTGTCTATATCAGTTATAATGACAACAATAGTTGCAGCAACCCAGGGAACACACCTCTTCATTTTGGCTGCATGGGATGGTTCTTTGGACTATCTGAGAATTGCTTGCTTGAGGTGCTGAAGTTGTTTTGGATGTGAAATTAACAGGAACAAACTTAACAAACTACTTTTGATCTGTAAGACATAGAATTCTGTTTAACATGATCCTCTTTCCATCATGATGAATAATTTCCCTGACCTCCTTTATTCAGCCGTGTCTGCACACCAGGCTTCCACCTTAATTTTATTGAAAATCTCACAGTAAAGGCAAAGTTCTTATTGTTATTGTGTTTTAATGATCAACGAGACGTGAGTTATTGCGTTTATGATGCATTGTTTAAAGTTTATATAAGATGTAGATGCAATTAAATTCATTAAGGTTTTTCTTTATTTCCAAGTCCAGTAATATTTGTTTGTTTTCTTATTTCCAAGTCATTGTATGGTATGAAAAAAAATGCCTGTTTTACCTCAATATAATATTTGAAGAACTTTCGCCCCTTTTGCTCTGTCAAATAAATTTTTAATATCAGTTCATGAACATGCGAAATATCCTGTTTACTCGCATATAAAAATTCTAGATAGTCCCACAATTCTTTTACGGTATCACAATGATTAATGACATTTTTAACTGTCGGGTCAAGTGTATTTTGAATCTGATTGAAGAGTTTATCATTCTCCATTAGAAATTTTTTTCGGATCCCAGAATTAGTATTAGATTGTGGAGGTGGGTCATTAGTTAAGTGATTGTCGAAATCCACACTTGACACGTACCTGCGGACAATTCTCTTCCATTGAGCATAATTCTTACTGTCCGTTAACTTTCAATCTGTGATTTTTGAGGACGGAGTTACTGTAATTTCATTTACCACTTTCTTATCACTTTCTACCATGATTAACTGAAGACCAAAAAAAGGACCACAAAAGAGAGCCGCCCAAATAAAATAAGTCAATCCAAAATTTAAAATAAAACTGACCCACTGGAAAGCCCAAGCTAACTGACCCAAATGAATGAAAGCCCAAACTGTTCCAAACTGATGAAATATCAAATCGTCCAAAGCCAATATCATTCGAGTGCTCGAATCGAATCAGCCACCGGAGAAGAGAACCGATCGACGAAGCAAAAGAACCTCCAAATCAGAAACACACAAGAGCGAATCCAAAGCAGAAACAGCCAAAGAACTGATCGACGAAGCCAAAGAACCTCCACAATCACACCGAAGCTTCCCACGAACTGCTTGAACCAGTGGGAATCCAAATCGGAAACACAGAACGGCTCTGGATGCTCGTTGCAGAGTAGCCTCCACAATACCGAAGCCTATTCTGATCTTCAGCCGCCGATAAGTGACCAGTAAGTGTCGTTTTTTATTTATTTTTATTTTTTGCTTTTAACCAATAGTACCGCCCAAACCTTTGCACCACCACCGACAATCCCTCAGATTTTCAGAAACTCTCAAACCCTAATTTAGAGAATTAGGCTCTGATACCATGCTAATTGATTTGGAAAAATCTCACCTTCAAGTTTATTCACCAACCGGTAACACACACACACACACACACATGAGAAGGATATTTCTCAAAAGGAAATAATCCTACCTAGTAAGAAAATAATTCTAGATTTATATTCCTACCATCTACATCACGTTTACACCTAAACTAATGCACACGGTTCATAATAGTCATTTTAAAATCTAATCGACTTTTTTTTCATTAGCCCATCAGCCATCACAGTGCAAAATCAATACAGTAAAAATTAGAGTGTAATTGGACAAAACATTGACAAGATTACGTGAAAAAGAAGACATTGAATAAGAATAAAACATCTCGTCTCGAAATTCTCTCGTGTCAATCCTTCACAACTCGAAACATTAACTTCACCTTAAAAGAAACTCACTCCGTGCTTCGCACGGGCACAACACTAGTACTGGAAGAAATTTTTAATTGAACAAAGATCTTACAACAACCTCTATTGTGCTCTAACTTGGCGATGATTTATGAAAGCTTTCCTTTTGTTTTAACTGATCAAATAATTTAACAGATCGCTCATGGTGTTCGAACTAATGGCATTAAAGTTATTACTTAGGAAAAACACTTTCTTCCTTCTGTCTTCCCGGTACACATTTGTATAAATCTTTGTCAAAAGAAGTGGATAGAAGATCTCATTACCTTAAAAAAAAAAAAAAAAGGGATGCATGCTCATGAAAGAGAAAGAATGATTAAGTAGAAAAGAATTTACTCGATAATAGAATTATGGAAATGCTTCCTTCTTTCATATTTTTGAGAAATGGGAAGATGACTGTCGGACGGACAAGAGATGTTATCCATGGAAGCGACGACGGGGTTAATAGTGTCTCCAAGGCAACCATTTGTGTTTTTCTTAGATAGGTGGAGTTTGTTTATAGATGATATGAAATGAAATTCAAAAAATGCCATATGTGTTTAATTCCCTCTTTATTAGAGTGTTCGACGCTCTTGTTCATTCAAATTCAAAGAAATTATTACAGATGAAAATATGCAGGAAAATCTGTAATTGTGATTCTGATCGATTTTCCTTGAGCAATCAGAATTGACGTAAATTAATGAACTCTCCAACATCGATATAGAATGGAAACAATATTGATCAATCGTCTTTCCAACAACGACATGGAAAACTAAAAGTTGGGGTTCAAAAATAAGGAAATTAAAGGGTTTTCTCTAATTTTAATTCTGCCCCTTGGTAGAAGCATCAATCAGAACGATTTACAACTTTTGGGTTCAGAGAAAATTATAACTATCCTGACCCTCACGCCATGTGAGCCACGTTGTTCAGATCCTTTACCCACTTCCTGATTCCTGTAATTAATCCAAGAAAATCTGTTTGGGACGTGGATAATATTGAACTAAAAGGCAAGAAAACATTTATTAACCTAAATAACTTCTGTTGGTTTTACCCAATACTGTATTAATATCTTGTACTTCCATTTTCCCTGGACCAGAACACTCCAGACCCATCTCCAGGATCATTCACCCCTTTCCTCTCCTTACACACGAAGTGGTTTCCTGCTGGGAAAGTATAAATTCTTGCCCCTTCTTCCTTTTTAATGTTTTTACATGAATGATTGTGTCATTTGCGTTGGACTGTTATTTTTATTGTTGAATTTTGGAACTATTCTTGTTTTCTTGCTCTCTCTTGAATGATTTTGTGCAAAGGATGGAAACTTTAAGAGGGGAAAATTTGAAACTTCAGACTTCAGTAATCGAAAGGTTTCTTTTCACACCTTTTAATAAATTTTGTAAAATGTCGATCCTTCTCATACAAAAACATTTGGATAACAATTTACCTTTTCTAGATCAGGGGTTTCTGTTTTCCTTTTATTTTCCCTGGTATAATATATATTTACTCATGTTAATAATCTCTTTGGTTGTATGTACAATAGCCAGTCGATAAGTAGCATTATAAGGATGCATGAGACTAAAACCTATTATATTGGGCGATAGATTTTTTTTATTTTTTTGGGATTGTTTCTGTTTTTTCTGTCAGTAATATTAGATTTATACTTTTTTCCATTCACTTGTCAAGGGGGGTTTTGATGTTTGAATGATTACCAGACTTCGAGTTCTCAGTCTGACAGAATGGATCATCTGAAAATAGAGTCTTGCATTGATTTCTTGCAATGCCTCACGGCAGATGTGTCCTTGAATATCTTGATTTATTTGGATGATCCAACGGATCTGGTCCGTGCAGGTGCTGTTTCACGCTTATGGCGTCGGTTTGGTGAGTTGTTCATATTCAATTTTAAAATTACGTGACCATGGTTGGTCTACTGCTAGTGTATATTTAATTTTGAAAT